CTTTATAAAAAAAAAAAAAAAAACAACAAACAACACAACAACCCCCCCAAAAAAAAAACAAAAACCCACAACAAAAAACATACCAACTCAAAACCACACGCATCCCCAAACGAGGCTGCTTTGGGATTGCAGGCGTGGTGGCTGCGATGGTCCAGAGCCCTGCTCTCCTCCCTGACGGCCTGGGGAGCAGCACAGGGGTGATGTCCATATGGGCAGTACCACGCAGCCCCTCAAAAGTCACGGCACGGGACAGCTGGCTCCGGTCCCCAGCAATGCCTGGAGGATGGCAGGGAGCTGGCACCAGCAAGATTGGTACTTTCAGCTGGAGCAGCCACACGGCTCTCCAATTATCACCCGCAGAGGTGTTTTTTCGAGTTATTTATAGGCGAGCGTGATGAAACCTGGGGAAAGCAATTGCCAGAGTGAACCAGGCACAAAAGGCAGGACAGCCTCTGCCTCCCCGGGCAGTAACGTGCTTTTTTTTAGGGGGAAAACTGCTTCAGCTTTAGCATTTCAGTTCAGCAAGCCAGGTTAAGCCCATGTGACAGCTGGGCTTGGTCCATACCTTGGTCCATAACCCTGCTGCTGCTGGTGCTGTGGACTACTGGGACTGAACCAGGCTTACAAGGGAAGGAGAAGACAAGATCTCCATCCACAAATGTTTCCTCACTGTCTGAGGATGCCAGTATTTCTGGGAGAGGCAATGCTGTCTCCAAGCTCATCTTTCCCAGAGTCAACTCCTGCCCTGCCTACAGCGGGTGTCACGGCTCACACTAACCATCACGAGAAAAGCTGCTGCCGTGCAATTCCGTTTTGACAGGTACCAGCAAGAGCTCCCAGCATCAATTTCCTTTCTATTAAGGATGGGTGAAAGGTTTCATTCGCCAGATCTGATTGCTCAGGATGATAAAAGCAAGTCATCAGCATGGGCTGTTCAGGCATCAGCAAATCCTAAATCCCCCCGGCCAGATATTGGCTGGCTCATCTAACGGCATGACCTCTCTTCAAAAGCCAGCCTGAACAAATGGAGCAGATTTCTTCCCTGAGATGCTACCAGCCTAGATTATCTCGGGGAGGGGGGCATGGTCTCCCCTTGGCTGGGGCAGATCCAAGCAAGCTGCATGTGTTACCAAGCGTCCCTCTCCAGCTCATTGCTCCCTCCCAGCAAGGGACCAGACCGCATCCCAGCGACTCGCTTTGTGTGGAATGAGACTTCGCAAAGCACCTGCTGGAAGCTTTAATTAACGTTCAGTGGGGGGTAATCAAGGCAGGGCAGAAACCCAAGGTTCCTTATCTTCTGGAAGCTGTTGAAGAGATAACAGTGGGGCTGTGCTTTGAGTTTTGGCCACAAAGGGTTGGTCTGAACTCCTGGGAGGGGTGGGTCCGAGATGACTTCGCATACCACGAGGGGGATGCTGCGGGATGGATTGGGTGATGGGCAGGGGAAGGAAGGGGAAATCACCACCAGCAGTGCTCCTGACATCGAGGGAGACTGTTAAACAGTAACAAAAACAACACATTCACCTCCTCAGCCAGAGGCTCCTTCCTTTGCATGTAGGACATTAGGGTTCTCCCACCCCAAATCAATCAGTCACCCCTTGCAGAATGGACTACTCAATGAGTGAAGCTTGCCCATCTTCTGGCCAGGCTCCTCTGCACACAGCCTTTGGGAAAAACACTCCCTCATATTCT